AAGCGCTTATTCTACTGAGCCATTTCCCCGGCCCCTTTTAATTCTTTTTTATATAAGACCTGAAAATCTAAATAAGGATCAAGACCCTGGCTCAATCCTTAAATCACATTATTTTCTCTTTATATTGAAACAGAAGCTTTAGAAACTGTTTTCATTAGAAATTCTGAAATGACATGATACTTTCTTTTTATTTCCAAAATACAATATAATCAAAAGACACAAGTTACATAAAATGATAGTACATGACAGGTTGTCCCAACTACTCATTACTTGGGGGGCTGACAAAAGAGGATTGCTTGAGCCCAGAAGTTCAAGGTTACATAGCAAAACTATCTTACAAAATAAAGCAGAAAACATGGCATTGTGGGAAAGGTGCATGGGAATTCCCTATAACCTCTTGAGAATCTGTAGTTATTTCAAAGTAATTTTTTTTTAGATTAAATGTTATTTACTCACAATTGTTAATAATTTTGTTTTTTAAAGATTATAATGCTTAAATACTGCATATCTCTAAAGATAATTTAAGTTGTAGGAGGAACTCAAATGTCTATTAATGAATAAATATACCAGATCAGAATTTATAATCAGATACTATAGTCCACATCTAGCTGGGCATGGTGGCTGGTCGTGCAGCCTATAACTCCAGCACTCAGGAGGCTGAGGCAGGAGGATCATTGTGAGTTTTAGACCAGCCTGGGCTACAAAGTGAGCTCAAGGCCAGTCTGAACTGTGTAGCAAGACCCTGTCTCAACAAAGCAAAATAAACAAAAAATCAAAGATAGGGGCCGGGGAGATGGCTCAGTGGAATAAGTGCTTTCCTGGCAAGCGCAAGGGCCTGAGTTCAATCCCCGGTTCCGCCAAAAAAAAAAAAAAAAAAAAAAAAATCAAAGATAGTATACATCTTAAACCTGGCTACTGAAAGGCTGAGGCAGGAGGATCACAAGCTTGAGGCCTGTCTTGGTGATGTACACCCTGTTTTGAAATAAAGTAAAAGGAGCTAGTGATACAGCTCAGTGTTCCCTTTCTTCAATCTCTGGTGCTCCTTTCACCCTCCATTATAGTCACTTCTAAAACTATGAAAGAAAACTTAACACATCATTTACAGATAATCTGGCATACTTGTATTTAAAATTGAGGGTCTGGGTCAGAATCTTTCAGAAAGGATTTGCTAAACTCTAGAATAGTGTTTCTATCCCCTGTAACATTTGCTTTGGGGTTTGCAAGTTCAAGGCCTGCCAGGACTGCTACATAGTGAATCAAGGCCAGCCTAGATTGGATAGTGAGACCCTGTCTCAATCAAAAAATGAAATCAATTTGTTAGACATTTTTCTTAAATGAATATACTTGAAGTTTTATTTTGGCATGTAATCAAGATGAAAATTTAAAGAGGTATTTTATATGCTCTTTTTTTTTCTACACAGTCTTTGAAATCCTGTATTTTATATTTTCAGCACCTGTCAATACAAACTAGCTACATCTCCAGTGTTCATATTACAAGTATCTAGTGGCTGCTGTAAAATGGACCAAATTTCTTTCCTAGCTTTGAAAAAAAGGCAAGTTACTTTGCCTTCTCAGATGCTGGAGACATGACTACTGACATCATATTTCTGTTGTTATTAGTACCAAGTGTCCTTTGTATTATTAGAAATCATTATAATAAGTTCTATAATTATACATGTTTTTGAAAGAAATAAGCAAATTAAAAATCTGACATGTAAATTAGAAACGAATTACTTTGAAT